GGCCTCTTTCTCACCTATGTGCTCTGCCCCTCAAGGATGGCCCGAGCTCTCCTCCACCAGCTGAAGTGAGCTAAAGCGCGTTCAGCGTATAAAGACCTAAGAGAATAACTTTGTCCATAGGACTAACATCAACGGGCAGTTGCATATTTAAGTGGCTAAGTATTACTGCAGCTGAAATTCCACGCGCGGCAGGCGGAAGTGCTGCATTGGCACGGGCAACAAAATCAGAAGCAGGTCGCTAGGTATCCTTCTCCCCAACGAATTGCCTAACAAATGTATGCCAGCTAGATTGTCATTTGTGTGCATTTTTCTATGATGGCTTTGTCACTCAGGATTCCGTAACTTTCATACACGTCCTGGAGCGGTCTGAACGACTCACACAAGATGGAAGAGATGAGGCGACCCGGCGTGCAGTGTCCTACTTATGCAACGATGGCCCTGGTACGATGCTTCTAGTTGCGCGCTGGCTCGATTCGGTAGCAGATGCTGTGGAGAACAACACCGTAGCATCTAGCGAGAAATTTCCGTGGCGGGAGGTCATACCGCCTCTATTCGTCGGCATCAACAAGCACCGAGAACTTCTGAGTTCAAAGATGCCGCGCACTCAATTTTCTCCAAAAGAGCTGCGGGAGTTTCTGGAAACCGAAGGCTTCATTGAGACGCAGGGACAAAAGCTACAGCATTTGCTTGAGACAAAGGGGATTCCAGGCAAGGGTTCAGAAGCAGGAGCAGGTAGGAGGAAGCTCTGTCTAAGTGACATCACTATTTTCGCCAATTTCACGCTTACGCCAACAACAGTGCGGCAGTTGAGCACATCTTTCGGCCTGGATGTGCTTTGCTTGAGGTGATCACCAACCGCACCCCAACGCATGGCTTCAGTGAACAGATAAGCCTCCGGTAGTGATTGCGTTTGTGATTCAGGCTCGCCTTCGCCTAAACCACGTACCCCTCTTGACGACTATCTTGACTACTTACTGGCGGTCGCTGTGGACTCACTCCGGAAGAGACAGAAGCCCGTTGTAATCCCAAAGATAACGCAACACTCCTTTGAGGTCGGCGAAGAACCTGATAGCAGCTGTTGTTGCGACGCATCTTCTAGTGACCAAACCCTGCAGAGTTCCCAAGATGAGGGATTCAGAAGCCGGTGCAAAACGTCCCTTTGGGGTAATCTCCCTCTCTTCGCTTCTGAGAAGCCCTTGCCTCGCCAGCGGTGCGCAAGCTGCCTACCAATCAGAGGATCTTCACGAGCGTGGTTCGGCAAGAGTAATTCACTAAGACGAGGTTTCGGGTTCCCCTGTTGCTACACTGGTGAAAACACCGGGCCCCCTGAGCTCGACCTATTCGAATCCACAGCAATGCAGCAAGTACGTGCCACTGCTTGCCGAATGCCGCTGCTACCTTCTGAAAGATATCTTCGGTATCTGCGGCTGACGGGACGTTGCAGAGAGCTTGCTGCGCTCGCAATCTGGTTATCAGGGAGGCCTGATCTAGTTTCCAGCTACTTTGAGCGCATGGCTCCCAAACAACAGCAAGCCTCTGCTGCTGTTAGGGTCAATAGTTCCACCCCAGATAAAGGAACACCACGTTCCCCACCTTCAGCCGAAAGCCCTGGGGGGGAAGGTGGCAGTCCGCCTTCATCTCCAGGCGGCACTCAACCGGAGCAGGAGAGCACTCCCTACGCTGACGAAGCATCCCGAAGCCCTATTCGTGAGGGCGAAGCTGCACGTGAAGAGCACAAAGGCAAGGATGGGGAAGAATGTCAGGGCTCGAGCAAGGGCGCTGTTCTATGTCCAAGCTCCCCAGTGACCTTACCATTGTCTTCTTCCCCTAGGAACATGGGTTTCCTTGGAAACAGCCTTCAAGGCAAAGATACGGACGACCGCGCCGAATTGCCCACCGCTGGGGAAGATGGACTTCACACCGAGGGAAACCACCGAAATGATAGCTCCGGAACAATCCACGCACAGTCATCCCCTAGGAAATCACCTGATCTGCCTTCTTCTCCGAAAATCCGAGCAAAGTTGCGAGCTCGAGCAGCAGAACCCCCGTCTGACAAAGGGAACGGTGGTTTATTGGAAGGTTCTCCACATTCACAACGTTTTACAGCTACACAGACGTCTGCATCAAAAGCAAAAGCGAAGAAATTTGTTGCAGGAAGGACTCCAGTATCACGTGTGGCGACGATAGGGCAGAAGACTGCTGCAGGTTCCAAGCCATTGCGGCCCCTCGGACAAGCACAGTGGCAGATCCCAGCCGTACCCGGGGAGCCGCCTTCAGCTCGAGACCCGCAGAAGACAGCAAAGATATTGGCTACAAAGCAAGAGACTGCGGATACAGCGAAATGCGAGCCGCCTGAGTCAGTTGGCACCGCAGATGCTATGCCCGATTCCAGAGAAAAGGAATCACCCGCGCCATCCACCAGGCCAGAAGATTTTGTTGAATCCGTTTCACCCACTGATGCAGATAAAGTAGTGTCACCAACCGTAAGGCGCATAGCTGACACTTCATCAAAACAGCCGCGTGAGCATCCCTCGAAGAAGCAAGCCGTTGCGCAGTCGAAGACACTTACCTCGCGCAGTTCGTCGACAAAGCGCCTTAATCCGGCAAAAACTACAAGCCGACGCCCAGCAGCTGCAGCCCAGCAAATGAGAACAGGAGCTCTTCGCAGGGAGGTTCAGAACGCTCAGTCCTCAGCAAGTTCTACACGCTTAACGGAAGAGGCCATCGACCTCTTGTCAGAGCCGCAGGTGTTGGCTGAGATGGCAAGACTTTGCACTCGCCTCTCAGACCTCGTCTGCTGTAGGTCGCCAACATCTGTTGATTGCCACTCTGGAGATGATGAGGGAAGCTCTGTCACTTGAACGTGCCTCAAAACGACCCACATGC